ATTATCATGTTTTATAACAATAATAAAATAAAGTAAAATAGTATAAAGTCACATTTGAATATAATAATGTAATATTTTTATATTAAATCAAAAAATATTTTAATTAATCTTAATAGATATTTAAGGTTAAAATAATATAAATTTAGTTTATTATTATTATAAAATTTTATAATTTTCAATAATATTATCAATACTATTATAAAAAAAATTATTATTATTTTCTATAGTAATATTTATCTATTGATATTTATAAAATTTTTTATTAAAAAAATACAAAATTTAAAACTTTCAAAATTTAAAGTAGTTAGCAAGGTATAAATATTTAAAAAGTTACAGTTTTATTTATTATAGTCCTATATTATTATTATTATTAGAAATTTTAATTATTATTATTACCTAATTATTGTAATTATGTATATATATATATTCAAAATAAAAAAAATCACATTTAATTTTAATAATAATTTGAATTTAAGTTTAGCTAATAAAACAATAAATCTATAATAAATAAATATATGTAAGTCAAATTTTATTAGTGTAATATAGTATCTTAAACAATTAACAAGTACAATTATTTAAAAATTACAGTTTGCAAAAATATTATTACTAAAATATTATGTTTAATTAAGTAGTAATAAATATATAAATAATTTTTGATATTATTATTACTATTATTATTATTATTATTATTATTATATATTAATTTATTATATTACTACTTAATAAAATATTAACTATTTATATAATTTTTCAATTCTAATTTAAAAGTAGTTAGCAAGGTATAAATATATTGAAAATGTTACAGTTTTATTTATTATAGTCATATATAATATTATTAGAAATTTTAATTAATTAATTATTATTATTACCCAATTATTAGCTCAAAAACATAATTTATATTTATATTATCTCAAAATAAGTCATATTTAATTTTAATAATAATTTGAATTTAAGTTTAGCAAATAAAACAAAAAATATATTATATATATATATATATATATAATATTATTATAATAAATAATGTAAATATATGCCAATGTGAGTTGTCAGTCAAAATTTATTAGTGTAATATAGTATCTTAACCAATTAACAAGTACAATTATTGAAAAATTACAGTTTGCAAAAATATTATTACTAAAATATTATGTTTAATTAAGTAGTAAATAAATATAGAAATAATATTTTGATAATATTATTATTATACTGTTATTAAGCTATTTGAATATAATGTATATGTAATAGTAGTTAATATGGATTAAAATTTTAATTATAAATTATTCAAAAAAAATTGTAAATCTTATATTTTAAGATATTTATAAACACTTAATATACATGTAATTGTTTTAAGCACTATATATACGGTTAGTATAACAAACATTTTATTATACATTACACTTACTTAGCTAATAAAACTATATATAAATATTATAATAATAAATAATGTAAATATATTTTTCAGTGCTATTGTCAATCAAATTTTATTAGTGTAATATAGTATGTTAATCAATTAACATGTACAATTATTGAAAAATTAGTTTGCAAAAATTTTATTACTTTTTAAATATAACTATACTATAAAATTATGTTTAATTAAGTAGTAATAAATATAGAAATAATTTTTGATATTATTATTACTATTATTATTATAATATATTAATTTATTATATTACTACTTAATATAATATTAACTATTTATATAATTTTTCTATTCAATTTAAAAGTAGTTAGCAAGTACATATATTTAAAAGTTACAGTTTTATTTATTATAGTCATATATAATATTATTAGAAATTTTAATTAATTAATTAATTTTTATTATTAGCCAATTATTAGCGCAAAAACATAATATGTATATATAATAAATAATGTAAATAAATGTCAATGTCCGGTGTCAGTCAAATTTAATTAGTGTAATATATTATATTAATGAATTAACATGTACAATTATTGAAAAATTACAGTTTGCAAAAAAATTTATTACTTTAATATAACTATACTAGAAAATTGTGTTTAATTAAGTATTATAGTAATAATTTATTACTAATAAAAATAGAAATAATTTTTGATATTATTATTATACTGTTATTTAACTATTAATATATTAGTATTAGAAATTTTAATTAATTATTTAATTTTAATTATTATTACACAATTATAAGCTCAAAAACGTAATATACTGTATATATATATATATTGTCATAATAAGTCACATTTAATTTTAATAATTTGAATTTAAGTTAAATTAATAAAACAAAAAATATATATTATTATTATAATAATAAATAATTTAAATATATGCCAATATGAGTTTTCATCAAATTTTATTAATGTAATATAGTATCTTAATAAATTAACAAGTACAATTATTGAAAAATTACAGTTTGTAAAAAATTTTATTACTTTTAAATATAAAACTATAATATAAAAATTATGTTTAATTAAGTAGTAAATAAATATAGAAATAATTTTTTTATATTATTATTATTATGCTGTTATTCAGGTATTTGAATATAATGTATATGTAATAGTAGTTAATATGGATTAAAGTTTTAATTATAAATTATTTGAAAAAATATGTAAACCTTATATTTTAAGATATTTATAAACACTTAATATACATGTAATTGTTTTAAGTATAGTAAATATATATATATATAGGGTTTTTATAAAAAACATTTTATTATACATACAAACACTTACTTATAGTAAGTAGAAGTAGTTTTTCTTATATTATGCACAAAAAAATAAGTAAATTTTATTATTAATTAATTTTCTAATTAATGTTTTTAAAGTGTCTGCAAAAAATACAACAACAAAAAACACATTAAATTAATTAATTAAAATTGTGTTTTTTATGAGTCTACACACATAACAAAACAAAACAAAAAATAAATTTAGTAGACTATAGTAGTTAAGCAAAACAAAAAAATTAAGTTGAATTATATCATCTAAAATATGTTAAAGCAATAAATCGTAACTAAAATTAAAATCTTAATAATACTAAATAGTGTAAAATAAATTTATTATATTATATAAATTATTATATATGCTATATAAGTTTTATGAAAAATTTTTTTAAAAATTATTTAATTTAATATATGCATAAATTTTTAAATAGAAAATCCCATAAAAGTTTTTAAATATAATAATAATATTATACTACAGTAGTATTATTATTATAAATTTATTAATATAAATGTATAAATTTTATGCCGACTTAAGCATTAGTTTTCATATATACAGTAATAGCTTTTGTACTGTTTATTAAATGTCATTTAATTTTTTTGTGACTATAAATATTAAGTTAACTATAATAATAATAATAAGTTTTAGTATAATATTATATAATATAATTTATATATAAAATTCTAATATAAATCATTTCATGTATTCATTAAGATATATAAAATTTTTTATGTTTGTATAGAGATTTTAAATTTGTTATATTCAGTAAAAAAAATATTACAATAATTGTTATGAGACTTAATAACAATAGTTTAAATTGCATTAACAATATATATATATATATATCATAGGGTTAAATGGTTTAATAAATTATTTATAAATTTAAATTATAGTTTTTGAAAGAGATCACTGTTTTTATTATTATTATTTATTTGTAATTTTTATAATAGTTTTTTTTATATATATAGTCAACATTTAAGTGAATAATAGTAATAATAATAATATTTTTAAATAAATAAAATACTATAATATTAAAACTGTCAATTATTTTTAACAGTAAGTTAAAACTATATTAGATTTTATTTTAATTCATATTTTTTCAAAATTTTTTTTAATAAACATCAAAAATGTATTTAATATATATATATATATATATATATATATATATATTAAAGCTATAGAATTTATAGTTTTATTTTTTATATATTTAATATTTTATTTGTCACTTTTATTATTTTTTTAAAAAAAAACTTTATCTCACTTTTCATTTATTTATATATTTATTTTTAAGCAGAATTTTCTAACAGAATATTCTATATATATATTAAATACTATACTATACTATGAAATCTCTATTGAAAATCTTTAAATATACGGAAACGCGTTGAGTCAGCGCTTATTTATATAAGTTTAGACACTTTATATATTTACAATATATATATATATATAACAATTTTTATTTATATACATATATTTATATATATATATTCATAATGTCTTATATGAGATAAAAACTAAAAAAAAATTTAGTGTTATTTACCTGACAAAAAAAATTACATATTAAAATTGAACGGTATATTTGAATTTTGTTGCTAAGTCTATGTACTTATATATATATATATATATATACTGTATATTAGAAATATTTGAAAATATATTAAAATATTTTTTTTCTGTATAAATATATATAATAAAAAATTTTTTGTTATTTGAAATATATGAAGCATTTTATGAATCACTTAATGTTAAAAGATATTTTACTTCAACAATATTATAATATATTGTGTATAATATTATATAATATTATATAATATATTATTTAAGGAAATTGTTTACTTAAGTTTATTGTTGTTTAATATACTGTATATTATATAAGATTTTCATATATATACAGTATATATAATTTTTTTTATTATTATTTTCAATAAAACAATACAACAGTAGTAGTTATTATTAGCATTTAATATTTACGGTAAATTAATTTTTTGTTTGAGTAGTAGTAAACTTATATACAGTATATAAAGTTTATCAGATTTTTGTGATTACATTTTTTTATATAAATATATTTAACTTAAATAATAGACTTATAGTACTTATAGTATTAACAAAATAATATTAAATAATAATATTCATGAATATTAATCATAATGAATGTTAAGAAAAATATTTAGTGTTTTGTTTGATATGTAAACTAATGTATAAATATATTTTTTTTAAATTGTTAATAACAACAATAATAATATGGTTTAATATTACTAAAAAAATATATTTATTAATATATGTATTATTATTATTATTATTATGTAATTTAATAGACAATCTAAACGCTGAACTGAATGAAGAGGCAGTAATACTAAGCGATTACAAGACATCAGTACTGTTGGAGTTTGAAGTGATTTTGCCGTTAACTTTGAGTGGTATAGTCGTAGTCATTGTTACACTACTGGTCTGTATTGTTATACATAGACGACATCCAAACGATACATTTAATGGCTGTTAGTATATATATCTTATAATATATATCCGAGACTACTGTTCCCCTACTATTTAATAGTGATTTTTTTATTGGGAACTATTAGCTAACATCTCTATCTTTTTTTCCCCCAATAATAATGACAGCAAATGGCAATCGTATGACTAATGGTAAGCAAAATATACTTAACGGTGGTATAGGTAGTGGTGGTGGCTGTGGTGGTGGTATAGATGATAATAATGTCAATTTGTGTGATATGGATAAGACAACTACCAGTAGTAGTGCTAATCGTAATCCAATGACTACTATACAGAGCACTGGTAGTGAATATCAACGACCAATGCTATTGAATACCAGTGGCGGCGGCGGCGGCGGCGGTAAATGCCTATACTATCCGACCCCATACGCCACGACACAGATTGACGATAGTATAACATTTGTCGATAATAACGGAACCATTAGAAAGATGGCCACCGATTGTGGCGGTGGTGGAGGTGGTGGCGGACACTACGCCACTGTCAAGAGGATGACACCTAAAATGCATCCAAAAAGTGATATACATCTCTATAGTTATGCGGGTAGTTATCACTTATATTTTTTTAACGACTTTCCTCTTAATAATATCTTATATAACATATTATATATAATTTATATATAATAACAAATATTTTATATTGTTTTTTGTTGTTGTTTTGTTGTGTTGTTTGAAAAATTAACTTTTTTTTATGGCCACCAAAAAAATTATTAGTCTAATTATTCATGACTTTTATTAATTCAAAAAAAAGACAAACATCTAAAATATAAAAAAAATTAGTTATATATATATATGTATTATACAGTATATATGTATATTATATTATATTAGATTGCTTTCTGTCATAGAAAAAAAATTATATATAAATTATGATTTTTTTTTGGTTTTATGTTAATATAATACAATTAAAAGGCAAACTTTTTTTGTGTTAACAATTTCTCATCCCTTTATTTTTTTTATATATTATTTTACTTATGGTTTATATATTATTTTTATATATATATATTATATAAATTATTATTATTTATTATTAGATTATCCGCTAATGAGAGCTATCTTTTGCACACATTTTTTTCAGCTTAAAATAAATACAATATATTTTTATATTAATATTTATTATTATATATAATATTGCCTTTTGTTGAAATGCACGCAAATTATTATATATATATATATATATATATGGCATATGATATACAGTACTGTATGTTATATAATATTATATAATTTAATATTTTATTACATTTACGAGTATTTTATTGATTATTTTTTTTCTCGTATCTCTAACTTTATTTTTATATCATGTGTGCCTAATATTTATTATATTGTTTGTTAACTATATATATATATATAAATAGTTATAATATTTTTTTTTTGGTGCCCGTATTGTTTGAACTAAAAATTAATTATTTGTTTTATTTTATATTTATTTATATATTTATTTGTTTGTTTGTCTGTATATATATTCAATATATTACAGTCAACTCTCAACAGTTAAATGTTTCAAAAGACGATTCAGAGTCACTGATAACATATTTGGTTGAACCTATTGGCGGAGCACCGGGAGGTGGTAGTGGTGGTGGTCATGGAGGAGGAGGAGGACATCCCGGTTATGATACCAATACACTTAACCATTGTTGCTCTTATATAGACAATAATAATCAAACAACAAAACTTGACTTTTGATACTACAGTATATGTTGTTATTATTATATATATATATATATATATATATTTAGAAAGAAAAAAGAGACAATTTTTTGTGATTAATATTAATTATTATTATTACTGTATTATTGAAAATAAATAAAATAAAAATATTTATAATTTTTTTATTTATAAAAAAATAAGAAAAAAAATGTTTTTAATTTTATGTTAACTGAAGATAATATATAATTTATTTCCCTTTAAAAGCTAATTATTGTGTCATTAATTAATTATAAGACAAGACTATGTTATTATTATTATCTAATTAAAAGTGTTTCACGAGTTAATCGATACACACGTAATCAATAGCCAAGTGTAAGGATATATCAATATATATATATATACAGTATATATGAGATATCATCACAAATAAAATATAAATTTATATAACATTTTAACGTAAGTATTAGTACTAAAATTTTTTTTTAATATATGTTACGTATGTACAGTATCTTTATGATGAAAAAAATAATTGAGATAAAAATATATATATATTTGTGATAACTAACATTTTTTAATTTTTTTTATCATTACAATAGTATACTATAGTAGTAGTAGTAGTAGTAGTTAGCAATGATTTTAATTGCTTAAAAAATATTGATTATTGAAAATAATAATTATGAAAGTAATTATAAATAACTAATTATAAAATTAATTAACAATTGATAAATATTTATATATATATTTATTTATTTATTATACTGTATATATCAAGTAATTGTTGTGTAAATATAATAATATATTATAATTTTAATGTATGTATGGTTTGATGTACAACAAAATTATCGATAAATAGCATATATATATATATAGTTAGCCTTTAACTTAATTTTGTTGTTGTTGTTGAATATGTTTGAATAAATTTTGTTAATTTATAAATTAGTATTATTATTATTATTGCACACAAAAATCCAATTGATTTATTGATTAAAATTTTACGCAAAAAAATCTTATATTGAAAAAACAAACAAACAAACAAAAATCATTTTCATAAAATAATTATTAATAGTATATTAATATTTATCCAAAAAAAATAAAATAATATATCTATTATTAATTAAATGTCAAAATTATTATACAGCCATAAATAATTTATATTAATATTTATTATTAACTTTTTATATAAAAAAATATTAGTAATTTATTTTTATGTGTGACCTTTGACATTTTTTTAACTAAGTGTTTAGCTAGCAATTTTATTTTGTATACTTATTTATATTGAGAGGGGGATGGGTGGGGAGGAGGGGTGTGGGTGATAATTTTTAGTTTAAGTCTAATATAAATATTATTATTATTTTATATTATCACTATTATCATCATTAATATGCAGGTCATTGTAATTTCTGGCTACAAAACTAACATTATATTTGCTGAAAATATTATTATTAATCAGTTTTACATACAGTATATATGTATATATATACTGTGTATATATTAATATTAATATATGTTTATATTTAATAATTTTATTAACATATAGATAATAATTTTACTGAGTTAGCAATATTTATTTATGTATTGATAATTTATATCTGTATTTATACAGTATATATATATATTACTAATATAATAATATATACTGTATATATATGCATAATAATAATAATAATAAAAATTATCATATTTATTAATAATAAATTTCAACGATAATTTCCACACACACACACACACAAAAATAATTATTAGTTATAAACGATGACTAAAAATGTAAGTAAAATTATTATTAAATATTTAATAAAAAAAATTGAATTTTTTTTTGAGTAAATGTTAAATAAAATTTTTTTGTGTGATTTGATTGTGAACAACGCCCTCAACAAAAAAAAACCAACACATAATGTATAGTAACTGTGCTCTCATATATATATATAGCAGCATACCTGTCCCCCCCTTTATATACATGTATATAACTGTACAGTATATATATATATACACGAAAAAATTGTATATTATTATTGAATGTGTCTTCAAAATCGATGTTACATCATATGTATCGTAATATATGATAATAACTTATATATGTTAATAATATCTCATATATATATACTGCATATATCAATGCAAAACCAATAATTACCTGATCATAAAATTATATTAATATTTATTACACCTGAGAACCTATATATTTATATATATGTACATCAAATTTCTATTACATAAGTAAAGTACAGTATTATTATTATTATTATTATTATTACAAAAATTTTTATACAAAAAATTCAATAATAATAATAATAATATTGAAAAAATGGGTGTACATATAATGTGTGTGTGTGTATATGTGTGGTCCAAATAATAATAATATAATAAATAATAAAATAGAGAGAGAGAGAGAGAGAGAGAGAGAGAGAGAGATCATTGAATTTTTTGTCATATAAAATACAAACACAAAATTATTTTGAAATAAATTTAAATATAATTGACTTTTTTTATAAGGAAAATACAGCAAAAAAATTTTTTAACTATTTATATGTAGTATAATATTATAATAATTTTGTAATTTTTATTCATAACTTTTTTTTAAAATAAAAATTATTTTACACGAAAAAAAACAAATTACTTTTGTGGTATTACCTTGGTATTAAAAAATAAATAAATAATAAATAATCCGTTATTTATTATTATAATTAAAAACAATAAAAAGTTTTTTAATTACCGAAACATGGTTTAAACAACAAATTAAAATATATTAAAATTATTATTATTATTATTACGGTATTAATATTTTTTTTGTAATGTATATGTAATTTTATATTTTAAAAATATTATTGAATTTATTGAAATTTTTCAAATTTTTCCAAATTATTGAAATATAAATATATTGTATTTTTAAAAATATATTTTATTAAATATATATAAATATCTAATTTCTTTGATGTATTGAAATATAATGGCCTTCGATATAGTTATATATTAATAACCACTGTCTCTGWCTCTGACTCTCTCTCTCTCTCTCTCTCTCTCTCTCTCTCTCTCTCTCTCTCTCTCTCTCTCTCTCTCTCTCTCTTTCTAATCAATATATCTATCAATTTAGTAGTTAATAATAATTATAATATAAATGTAATCGTCTATCGAGTAGTTTATTATATACACACACACACAACACACACACACACTTTAAATGAGATTTAAAAGTTAAATACATTTATACAGTATATTAAGTAAACAATTTGTTTGATAATTATATATATATACTGTATATATATAGATATATATATATATAAATTTTTGTGATTAGAAAATAACTAAACATTTTACGCATATAGTATACTATAATATTATTAATATATTTTTTTTTGATAGACAAAATCAATTTGATGTTATGTTATTAATTTTAATTAATTGAACATTAACTGTGTGTATGAATACATTAAACTATAAAATAAATATAAATATTATTATTATTATTATTAATAGACTATAATTATTGAAACTTATTAGTTAAAAAAATAATCTAATTTAATAATAATAATAAAAATATTTTGTGGTGTGATTTTTAACAAAGTGTTAGTTTTTTATAGTATTAATTAATTAATTAATAATTTTGTGATCATAACAAGTGTTTAATTAATTTATTTTTTTAAAATTATTATTTATAAATCTTCTAAAATTAAAGGTTTGTAAATTAAAAACAATTTTATTTATTTTATAATATTTTAATATTAATTTAATATTTAATTTAATTTTTCCAATAAAACTATTATTATTTTAACATTAATGTTAAAATTTGATATTTATTTATTACTTGTACTGTTTAATAAAAGTTTTGTGTTTACAAATTTATTCAAAAAAATCTAAAAACATCCAAAAACAACAATTAAATTATTAATAAATATATTATTAATAATAACATTATTAACTACATGTAATATACTTAATATATAACTTCAATTATAATCAACAACAAAAAACAAAATAAAAATGTTTATTTTAATAAACAAAATGATATATAATTTATATTATAAATATTTTTTTTGTTGGCAAATGTCAGCAACAATATTATATTATTAGTCAAACTTAATTGACATCCAATGCTAATATAAAATTTACTTTATATTACAAACAGATTTTTTCACTTTATTTTTATTTTATTTTAGTTTTTTTGTGATTAGTTTTCATATATAAAATATTCATAATATGAAATCAAATAAATTATTTTACAACTAGAAAATCATCTCTATATATGTGTGTATATTATATATATATATATATATATATATATATATATATATATATATATATATATATATATAATATACACATAGAGATAGAAAAAATACTGTAAATACAAAAATTTAATTTATTTGTGATTATGCTAAAGTGCTTTACACAAAACATACACTTAAACTTATAATACACACACACACACACACACACACACACACACACACACACACACACACACACACACACACACACACACACACACATACATACATACATACATACATACATACATACATACACATACATACATACATACATACATACATACATACATACATACATACATACATACATACATACATACATACATACATACATACATACATACATACATACATACATACATACATACATACATACATACATACATACATACATACATACATACATACATACATACATACATACATACATAAGCTAACTATAAATTGGTTTTATTTGTATCTAAAAAAATAAAATTATAGTTTATATAATTTATATCTCAGTAATGATTTCCTCGATTTGAAAATTATGTAAATTTTATTTTTCCTGTATCTTTAATATTATTTATTTTGAGTATATACTGTACTATACTGTATATATATATTATTAAATATTTATAATATATAATAGTAATAATAATAATTGTGTTTTGACTAATACGTGATCATTTTGTAATTGTTATATAAATTGATCAAAAATTGTGTGCAAATAAAATATTATTATTATTATTATATATAACTATTATTATTAGGAAAAATAACATTTATGTAATATATTGTTATTTTTTTATATTCAAAAATATTTCTAGATATCACTTGAAATATATGTATAAGAAAAATAAAATACTAGAAAAATTTTAATGCACTTTAAAAATAATATTTATAATAAATATAATATAATATAAAAGCAAATATATATTTAATAAAAAAAATAAAAGTTTCCAATTATATACACAAGTATTTTCAAATAAACATATTTTTTTCAGTTGAAAAATAGTATTATTATTATTATTATTAAATTGAAAAACACATACATTAAACAAAACAAAAAAATATTTTTATATTATTTTATTTATTTTTTTGGTGATATGACACTTAAAAATTTCAATATTTATATTAGGATTACATATACAGTAYMTCATAATCATAAGTGTGTGTGCACACATRTATGTRCATATATATTATATATACTGTATTRTATRTATTATATTAGGTATGTATGTATGTACCGGTATGTGTGTGTGTGTGTGTGTGTGTAGTGTATATGTAATTCTAGCTAACGGTGCTCTCTATCTAATGTATATATAACAACATATTGTAGTTATTTTTTAAAAAACCTGAATATTCTGTAAGTATATTACAGAATATAATGGAAGAGTCAGTCMGTCCATCCATTGTGTGTRTGTTSWGWGCACAGCACAGCCCTAAAAAACATATGAGAAGCGCCGCCCCCTATGGCCTCATATTTGACTATTAATATGTAATTTCAATGAATAAAAATAGAAATATAAAGTATAATAACTTTTGTGTCTTAAATAATGATTATAATACTGTAATAATAAACGATTAGTTAGTAATTATTTTATACGAAAAATATATATATCATTAAATAACTTGAAATACTATTGATTACTAATCAAACAAACAAACAAAATAGTGATATATTAGTATATCACACGTCATATACATWCGGTATATATATATATATAAATTATTGGTATTATAAGTGTATATTAAATATAATATTAGATTATTATTATATTATTATTATATTATAATTACTATACATATACTGTATATATATATATCTGCTTAACCTTCAATTGTTTGATACTATCGTTAGTATCGTATATACAGTATATATATATATATATATATAATATGAGACCTCTCTTTCTSTATTTAAAAAAATAATTGCATCTGTTTTATAGTAGAAATTAAATTAACTAAAAAAACTAATAAATTTTTGTTTTATTATAATAATTATAATTTTTTWATGTTCCCATTAATGCTAATATAATAATGTGTTAATAATTTATTTTTTWTTTAAAAAGGCTTGACATTGCTTTTACAGTATTTATTATTATTATTATTATTATTATTATTATTATTATTAACTGATTAACAGCTGATTGAGTACTTTATTATATTTATTTAAATAGTAATAATAATAATAACAGAGARAGAGAGAGAGAGAGAGAGAGAGAGAGAGAGAGAGAGAGAGAGAGAGAGAGAGAGAGAGAGAGAGAGAGAGAGAGTATATGTAATGCATTTGTTTGAAACAACAAATAAAAAATAATTATTTTTATTTAAAGAGTTTTTTTATTTATTATACATTCAATGACTTATGCAATACATATGTATGTGTTTTCCTCTCTCTCTCTCTCTCTCTCTCTCTCTCTCTCTCTCTCTCTCTCTCTCTCTCTCTCTCTCTCTCTCTCTCTCTCTAACTATATCTCAATCATTGTGTATATCTCTATCACATATACACTCTCTCTCTCTCTCTCTCTCTCTCTCTCTCTCTCTCTCTCTCTATATATATATATGTTAGTCATTGAGATAAACCTATAGTTAATAATAAAAATCATATGACTGTTGTGTTTATGTGTCTTATGTTTGAAACTAATTGATCCCAAAAAAAAAACAAACAAAGTATGTCTTGAATTGTTTGGACCAATTGAATGGTGACAACAATATATATATATATTGATTGTGTCTAACGATTGTCTTATCTATCTATMTATAGATCTAGTCATCCATCAGGCGGTTGGCTGTCTGTGTGTGTGTGAGGTWGTGGTCACCCGATAGACATCGGCGGCGACGATCATGAAGTTTGCTGAACACTTGTCGGCCCACATAACACCCGAATGGCGCAAACAGTACATCACTTACGAGGTATGTATTTCTGTCGGTAACCGATTAGTGATTATCATCTATAATGGTATCTAAATATATTCACACACAGAATATGAAGGATATGCTATACTCGGCAGTGGATCAGTTGGCGGCCTCGGATGCCGTACACGAGCTAAACAACGATAGTATAGTTAGCGGCGGTATCCGTGCCATCCATGGCATCGTCCACAACAACGACGACGACGACGACAACAACGATGACGATGAGGACAACAATAGCGACGATTTGGCAGCCAATGAAAGTCTTAAGCAATTTGAAGAACAATTTTTCCTGTACTGCGAGCACGAGTTGGCCAAAATTAATACATTTTTTGCCGAAAAACTGGCCGAAGCTATCCGAAGGTTTACCGATTTGAAGAACGAACTGAATTCCAGCCAAAATCTTAGACAAAACGGTTTTTTTTTAGATTTTTCGGTGATTTTAATTGAACYGATAATTGATTGATTGATTTTCTTCATTGTCTTCCAGGCAAACAAAAGTACGACAATCGCTTGTTCGGCGGTCTGTTTGATCGTCAGATTATGACCACCAATCAGAAGGACACCGGCGGCGCTGGTGGTGGCGGTGGAGGCGATGATCGCAAAGTTAGCCGCAAACTACACGACCTGAAGCTAGCGTTGTCCGAGTTTTACTTATCGCTAGTACTGCTCCAGAACTATCAGAACCTGAATTTTACGGGATTTCGGAAAATATTGAAAAAACACGACAAACTATTGAATACAAATTCGGGTCTCGAATGGCGYCAAAATAATGTCGAATCKTCGCAGTTCTACACCAACAATGAAGTATCGAAATTGATTGTCGAAACCGAAAACCTGTTTACCAGTCATCTGGAATCGGGTGACCGACAGAAGGCAATGAAACGCCTACGGGTTCCGCCGCTGAACGCCCACCAATCGGTTTGGACGACATTCCGGGTCGGCTTGTTTTTGGGCGCATTTGTCGTACTATTGACTAATGTCATACTTGCCTGTATGTCGTTACCATTGATTGTTATCTGATCCACCAATTAATAAGATATTATCTTTCTTTTTATAAAAGCAATGCTCGTCCAACTCGATCACGAATGGCCAGTAGTTGTCCGCTTGTTTCGCGGGCCACTGATGATCATAATGTTCTTATTCATGATCGGTATCAACGTTTACGGCTGGCGTACGGCTGGCGTCAATCATGTACTCATATTTGAATTGGATCCACGCGATCATCTATCGGAACAACATTTTTTCGAAATTGCCTCCATATTTGCCGTAATGTGGTCGCTGGCCGTCTTGTCGTATTTGTTTTCGCCGAATATACTATCGATTAGTCCGAATCTCTTTCCCTTGTGTCTCGTATTTTTGATGGTCCTATTCATGATTAATCCGACCCGAACTTTGAGACATAGCGCCCGCTTTTGGCTATTAAAAGTATTGGTAAGTTGGTCCTGTACTCCCGATTTGGTGGACACATTAATTAATTGACTAACTGTTTGTTTGTTTGTGTTGACCAGATTCGTGTAGTCCGAGCACCGTTTGTTAAGGTAGAGTTTGCCGACTTTTGGCTGGCGGATCAGCTCAACTCGATTGTACCGATACTACAAGATTTTGAATTTCTTGTCTGCTATTATCTGAACTACTATTCCCGATCGCGCAATGAATTTGGTAATTATTTATACTCTACTATTATCTGATTATATATTATTTTAATCGGTAATCTCTAATGACTGACCATCACTACTACTACTACTACTACTTGACCAGAAACGACATCCGATTGTTGTATATCGAGTACGACATACGATCTATTGATTCGCACATTTGTGGCCTGTCTTCCCGCTTGGTTTCGTTTTGCCCAATGTTTGCGCCGTTATAAAGACGATCGACGCGGTCTGTTCCCGCATGTGGTTAACGCTGGAAAATATTCGACAACTTTTTTTGTGGTCATATTTTCGACGCTCACCCGAATGACAATCAGTTTGTTTTTTTTGTTTAATTTTGTTTTTTTGTGGATCAGTTTAAYGATGATCTCTCTCTCTCTCTCTCTCTCTCTCTCTGCAGAYGATTACGAACACGCCTTCAGTAATCCGTACTTTAACTTCTGGATCATMGCATTGATTGTCTCCTCTTGTTATACATACGTTTGGGACGTTAAGATGGATTGGGGTCTATTTGATCCCAATTCACCATCAAAAGAATATCCATTTCTACGCGAAGAGATTGTCTATTCGTCGGCCAACTACTACTACTTTGCTATCATCGAGGATCTGATCCTACGTTTTGCTTGGACTATATCGGTATCCCTACAGGAAATCGGTATCATTCCCAGCGAACTGTTGACATCCATACTGACACCACTGGAACTGTTCCGGTAAGCGATGCGAATCGATTGATTGATTGTCATCTCCAGAGAGAGAGAGAGAGAGAGAGAGTTAATGAATTTGAATCCCAATTCAATTTCGCAGACGTTTTATTTGGAACTTCTTTCGCCTGGAGAACGAACACCTTAACAATTGCGGCGAATTTCGGGCGGTTCGGGACATATCGATAGCACCGATAGAGAATACCCGCGATATGAATGGCGGTAATAAACCGTTTACGGGAAATAACGATCGGAAAACTAGTTCAGGTACTCAACTCAAGTATCGCCGACCGAAATCGGTTAACCGATTGCTTAGGCGTAGCGATTCAACTACCGGTAATTATTCTGGTCAACAACAGTACCTAAAAGTCAGAACAAATAATAATAATAATAATAATAATCAAAGTATGGCTTCATTAAGGTATGTGTGTGTGTTATCTGACTATTAATTATTTTTTTTGTCTATTAATTTACCGATAATTTTTATTTTATATTTTTTTTAATTATCATTAATTTTTTTTTGATTTGATTTTTTTTAAGTACCAATTCATCAAACAGTTTGTCCAACAATAGGGGCGGCAATAATGCTATGGATGTAAATCTATTGATTGACGACAACAACACCTGTGAACTAAACCAGTTATGACTAGCAATGGATACGGCAATTGATAAGCTATCAAATGTCTCATAATATATAACAACAATTTTAATTAATTGATTAATTAATTAATTAATAGTTTAATTGATTGACGACACAAGCCTTGCTATGTATTGTTTAAATTATTAGCAATTAATTGTTATTTATATATATATAAAATATATATATTTATCAATCAATATATATTAGGATAACTAACTAATTATTTAAAAACAAATGGCTTATTATTTATTGATTATTTTTAATTATACTCTCAATATATATATATATATAACGTTATGTTAAATAATGATATATTTTTATTTTTAGGTTTTTTTTTWAAAAATTTTAGTTAATACATATATATATATATTGTAAAATTTAATTTTACTAATTCGTTGAGAAAATTATCATGTTAATTTACTTAATTAATTAACGTTCAATTATTACTTATAGTATTATTTAACTTAATTATTATTATTATTAATTATTTTTTTGGGAATAATAATGTTAACGATATTTTATTATTTATATTTTTATTAATATAATATAATAATATTATTTATTATCATAAAAAAGATATAAATTTAATATTTATTTATATATGAATTTATATAAAAAAAACRATATTAACAAAAAAAWATATATATTTATTATCATATAAAATAATATTATTAATATAATCAAAGTTTTATTATAATACCAATTGTTTACTTTATATTATTATTAATATTAAAATAAATTATAATAAATATTGTTTTTTTTATTACCGAAACATGATATTTGTAAATATTTTTATATTATAATCAAAAAAWATTTATTTAATTAATTTAGTTTAAAAAATTTARTTTTAATACTACTACGGTAATAATAATACGGTTATACTTATTAGCTAGGTTATTTTTTCAACAAAATTAAAAACTGTAACAAATTAATTGACCCAAAAATTATCTAATTATAATAATTTTCATAATTATATTATTATATAATTAAAAACCGCTTTTGGAATGCATGGCTAATATGGCTCTCTCTCTCTCTCTCTCTCTCTCTCTCTCTCGAGAGAGAGAGAGAGAGAGAGAGCATGAGAGAGCAATACAGACACATAGAYATACAGACAGTTCAATATACAGTGTCTATTAGATACAGATTTTTTCAGTTATTTGGTTCAKTAAAATAGATTTTTTTTTTGGTTCATTAAAATAGTAGACAATAAGTAATTAAAATATCAAAAAAATTGTTTAATTTTTATTTATTTAATGAATGGAAAATACAATCATTTAATATAATTTTTTTTTTTTAAATATATATATATATATATAGTCATAAAAACACTTTCGATTAACWTTTGTTTTGTTTATAAAATATTTGATTAGTTATTATAATTAGAAATTTGTTTAAAATTAAATCTCACTTTTTTTCGAGAGAGAGAGAGAGAGAGAGTGTACACACAAAATGTAATTATATATATATATATCTTAAGGGTATTAATATATATATATATATATAACAAATTGTTGTCTAAAAAAATTAATGATTTTTTGCTTGTATTTTGAAAATGAATGCTAGACTCGTGAATGGCTTATCGAAAGATTTTTTTTCTCAATAAATTTGTTGTATTTTTTAAAAATTTTAATTAATTTGTCTTCAATTTAATTAATTAATTAGTTTTAATATATATATATATATATATATATATTTGTTTTAATGTGTGTTTATTGTATTGTATATATGTATTGTAGATGTGTGTGTGTGTGTTGTCTTTATAATTAGTAGTCATCGGTGGTGATAATAGTAGTCTACTGTCTAATTGCAATCCATGGGCTGATCGTTGGCCACCGATGTCGAGTCCTTTTGAATTGTTTCGTATAGTGTCGACAAATCGGGTGTCGACTTAATCAACGACATAAACTCAGTCATCAAAATGTTTTTGTCTGTTAATAGAGAGGATTATTAGTTTATTTTATTTTTAAATAAAACTTACGGTACGGTAATCTGGAAAACTACCGRTACTKATGACACACAAAACAAACACATACCTGCATCGGGAACGGCCAGCAATGCCAGATAGGCTCTCATGGCTGACCTCTTGAGTTCGTCTTGTTTTTCAAACTCTTGTTTCACAGCATTGGCTTTGACTTTTGACGTACAGGTAGTCTTCAATGGCTCGACTAAGCCCTCCAATCCTTTARTTAGATGRAAATGAAATRAGATATATATATATATATATATATATAAGGMGTAAACAGTGGTAAACACATACTTTGCAGTACAGCCGACGGACACAGTGTGGACAGTCGGACTAACATCAGATACGTAAGCATTTTGATGTCGTAGTGATCGCGCAGACCATCTTCGACGTGATTCAAAAACTCAAATATATCGATCCGATCCAAACACGAATCCAACAGTGTGTACATACACTCGAAGGCCGCCTTACGAATATCSAGACCGTCATCGACGGTATGCTTGAATGGACCCATTTCTACCTCACGTATCAACTCTGTCTGCAATTCGTAAACAACAACAAACATTATATAATTGTCTTCAAATTGTCATTAAATARCAACAACAAAAAAACCGAACCCTTATTTTGGTTTCATTGTAGAGTTGCGGTAGAATTGTTTGCAACAGATCCCTGATAAGTGACGGCTTGTTATGAGCGGCCGAATTGAACGCTACTAACGCTACCCGTCGGACATTGATATCGGGATCATCGAGTGTTTTCAGAAATTCGCCAATCGATTCCCTGAGTAGGGCATCGATTTTCTGTGGCTGATCCGATATCGTAAACTTCATGGCCGTTACAACCGTACTCCTGGCCARCGGTGACTCGGATTGCAAGTACTGTTGCAATCGGGGCAATAGTGTTGTCGGTTCGATGAGTGTCAATTTGCCMAGACATTCGGCTACAACATTACGGGTACCCTCTTCGGGACATTCGCAATGATTCAGCAACAGTCGCCATATTGAATCYAAATGTGGCGATAGTATCTGAATAGCGGATACRCTGGCCGATTGGCAACTGATAATCTCCTTAAGCGAATGCAATAACAGGTATTGACGTTTCTGGCGATTCTGGATTTCGGACAATACAAACGGCAGATACTGTTCCAGATTGCCGACCGAAACGGATCCCAAACAAAACGAAGCGGACGACTTCACCTCTTCGCTCGATGAGTTAAACGAATCCATTATAACCGTTTTCAGGTCTTTTACCGAACTCAGGTCAATCGATTTGCCGATTTCGCCGATGGCCAACAATGCAAATACTTGTATAGAATCGGAATCGCGATGTCCTTGAATATCGGACAACAGTTGCCTCACGGCATTGATGGCCCGTTTGTCATCGATCGACGATATGGCAGACATACACTTAGCTATCGAATGATAGGCCTGTTTGTGTAGATTTTGTTGACGATTGGGTGCCGTAATCGGTTGTGTCAACCGTAGTACTAGTTCATCGTAGTCCAAACCGGGAAAACTGTTGTGTACGATAGCCTGGAAAAACTCGAGCATCGAATTGAGTGCTGAGCCCTGTAGTAGTGGCGATCGGACCAATACCAGTGCTTCGGGTAGTATGGTTTGCGGTATGATTGCCAGAAAAGCCAGATGCGATCGGATCAGTGATGTCAACATATTTAGTGTCAACTAGTTTTTTGTGTGAGTCAATTGGTATATACAATGAGAAACAAACAAAAAAACAATATTAAGATATAAATATATAAACACATATCGATTGGTTAAATGAATTTAATAGATCCGATAGGAAACCCACAAACCTGAGATATATGGAGATCTGATTCATTGATAAGCGGCGGTACTTCGTTCAAAATTATGCCAATAGTCTCTGAGCTCAGGTATTCGCCTAAAAATTATTAATTTATTTTTTWWATAGATTTTTATGTTTTAATTTGATATAAAAAAATATATATATATAATAATAATTACTATAATTCTTGACCAATGTATCGATCAATTGCAATGAACTTAGTTTGARTGCCCTCTGATTCTTGCGTAAAAACGATGCCAACACTGGAAAAGCTTCTGGAAGTAATGGATTCAAATTGAGTTTGAATTGTGAGCTAAATTTTTTGTTTAAAAAAAAAATTAATTAATTAATTGAACAACAATTTTTTTTGGGATCAAATTGATTGATTAAAGCCTAAGCAGCAGCACCTGGCGATTTTGGTAATAGACTTAACACAAGTCAACCGAGTTATCTCATTCCTGAGCCGATCCAACAGCAATGGAAGACAGACTTGCAATTCTTGTTGCATATAATCGCCAAACGTATAGACTATCTGACCCATACATGTAATGGCACGCTCTTTGACCTCCTGGTCAATGTCGGCGGCTTTTAGTTTCACAAATGTCGACTCGTATATCGGTTTAATAAATGGCACGAAATTAAAATCAGTCGATATTTTCTGATTTAAATCTGTTTTTTTTGTTGATTTGATTAACGAAATTAGTTTATATATAYAATAAATAAATAAAAAACTAAAAACCCAAACAAACCTAACGGCCGAATAATTTTCGTAATCTGTGTCAAAACCAACAGCGCTTCTGATGTAATCTTATAGAAACTATCGGAAACTGCTGTTATGATTGCCGGCAACAGTATGTGTATGTGTTTGTGAAACACTTCCGGATTGTGATTCTTGAATACAATGTTCACAAACGATAGGGTATCGATCTTCATGTTTGAACTCGAATTCTTATCACTGGAAGTCGTTAAAAAAAAGACAATTTTTTTTGGATCAATTGAATCAATCAATCAAAATCATTGGACATACCTGAGCGAAAACAGTACTCCGGGTATCAAATTGGATATATGATCGGTCAGTGCACCGGGCAATACATTGACCATTTCGCTGAGCAATGCAAAACAACTCTGTCGGGTCTTAATACTCTTTTCCCTGAGTTGTTTGTGCAATGATTTGACAATCGAAGGCACCTGTTCCCGAAGAATACCGAGTATATTGTTTTTGGAATATTCAGTAGAATTATCTAAGAAACTGCCACCACTTGATCCACTTGATGAGCCACCAGTTGTTCCGATAACCATCTTTGTCTGTTTGAGTAGCGCTATATAGGCGTTAAATATATCCACTTTGACATTCTCTTCYCTTTCTGCAAATAAAACCATTAAAATTTTATAATCATTAAAATCAATTATCTTTTAAAAAAATAAATCATATTTGCCTTTATATCGTTGGATCAGTTCGGGCGATACTTTACGATAGAAGTCGACAATCAAGTCGTGTCGAGTGGATATCATTGCCTCCAATGTCTTAGCCGACGATCTCCTAACTTTCCAACTCATATCGTCGTCGTCGCTATAGCTGCCATCAGTATCGGCTTCGTCGGCGTCTTCGTTATCCATTTCCATATCTTCGTCGTCCATACCATCCGAATCGTAATTATAGTTCGGATCATAGCATAGATATTTCAGGCAAACATTTGTTATCTGAATTAATGGTAATAATAATAATAATTGTTAGCATTTAAGACATCCAATCAGCGGTTGCGGTAATAGTCTTACGGTCGGCACATGCGGTGATATCTCTTTAGGACAGCGGCGGACAAACGACTCGAACGATTGTAAACAAACTTCTTTCAGTTCGTCTCCTTCTTCCTGTTTCTTATCTTTGATATCCATATTAGCAAATCTGGTGATCAATGGCATCACTTTTTCCAGATGTTCGCCAAACCTATGACCCGATTGTCTACTAATGGCAGTAATACATTGGATGTATGTCTTGGCATTGTTAATATCGTTGACATTTGTGGTCAATTCGTCGATAAGAAATTCAATGACTCGACTGTACAGCTGTTGGGAACAACACATTGCCAGATAGCTCAGGGCTGTTATCGTACGTTTGCGTACAGCCAGTCGCTGGCATAAGAGTTGCGGTAACAACGAGTCCTGAATGTTGGCATGAAATGATACCAATAGACCACCGAATCGATTCAATAGATCCGATAGGATTTCCAACGCTTCCAATCGTATGCCCATATCTTCGTGCTTTTTTATTATTGAAAGAGAGATAGAAAATCATTAGACAAACAAACCGATGGTTCAAACAGTTTACCGGTAATGGATCAAACAGTTTAATGGATCCCTAACTAACAGTAATCCTAACTAACAGTAACCCTAACAAACAGCAACCCTAACAAACAGTACCCCTAACTAACAGTACCCCTAACTAACAGTACCCCTAACTAACAGTACCCCTAACTAACAGTAMSCCTAACTAATAGTAACCCCTAACTAACAGTACCCTTAACTAACAGTACCCCTAACTAACAGTACCCCTAACTAACAGTACCCYTAACTAACAGTACCCCTAACTAACAGTACCCYTAACTAACAGTACCCYTAACTAACAGTACCCCTGACTAACAGTACCCCTAACTAACTGTACCCCCAACTAACAGTACCACCCGTTATCACTAACTAACTAACCTGTGATATAGCATTGGCCAGTCGGCCGGTAATCTTCTTGCAAATAGTCGACACCAATGCCGTCGAATTGGGCGACAATTCGCTGATGACTGTCTTCAGACCTATACTGGATATATCCCTTAGCTGTTCATTATTTGATATCATATTAGAGCACAACGTATCGACAATGGTCTCCACTTGCAATTCTTTCACTTTGTTCACCAGCGGACCCAAACAYTTCACCGCCAGATTCTGGACTTCGCCGTTCTTGTCCTCCAGAAGTTTCAATAGCATTCGGACCACTTTTTTCTCGCATTCGTCATCGAGTTTGATGCTATCCTTCTGTAGTTCACACATCAGATCATTGGTTGCCATAAATCGAAAATCTTTGTCCGTCGATGTCATCTGCGATAAGTGAGAGAAGTAGAAGAAGATATTRTTTTAWCCATTTCGTTGATGTCAACTGAAGATGACGACCACTACCGCCGCCAYCGCYGACCACACAAAAAATACATACCTTTTCCAAGAGATTTGAGATGTGATACGACACTGAAGACGACATCTTCAACTATCATCTGGTGGTCTTCTGGTGGTGTGTCCAACAAAAAAAAACAAACGGAAAAAAATCTAATTACAAGAAGTAGAAGAAGAAGAAGGGAAGAAGTGGTTAGAAATTATCTCAAAAAATCAATTAAAAACAATAAATCATTTCATATATGAAATGCCGGACCAGTTATATGTGATGTCAATCTCTGAATAGATATCAATGGCTATCTCCTCGATGTCGCTGTGATGTCAGWKGATGTGATGACAAWCAATAAGTTGGGATCAATTGTATTGTCAATTGAATCCAACAAAACACCAAAAAAAAACAAATAGTTTTTAAACAAATAATAAAATAATTTATTTATTATTTATTTATTTTTTTCWCTTAAACTTAATATTGAAAACAACAATACAATTGATTTCAATTGATTTAATAGTAAGTATTCAATAATAATACTTAAAAATTATTGTTGAAATTCAATATCGGATTACTATAGAAATTAGTCAATARATTATTACAATTAGACTGTACTTTGTGTATACATTATTGAATRTGAATAAGCGGCCGCATCATGGTTAGCAACACACACACACAAATAGCGTGACACAATWGGGYTAACTTTATGTCCCCCACCAACAATCAATACTATGCTATTCGTATGTATCGGTCGTATGTGTATGTTTTGATGTAYGTGTAACGTTGTTTCTGTGTGTCTATATGTTTGTTACTGTTTTAGTGCACTTTAATATTACACTTGTAGTCAATGTTTTTGAGGGTTTAAGAGATTACTTTAAATGTTTTTTTGTTGCTTTAAAATATTCCCTAAAAAAAACAAATTCCCCTTTAATTATAATATTAATATAAATATTAAATTTAAATAATATTTTAAATACAGTTAAATGTATTTTTTTTTAAATTTAGTTACCCCACCCTTTCCCTAAAAATTTGATTGTATTTTTCATAATTTTAACATGATAATTTTTTTTTTAAAAATGTGTTTATAAAATTGTATATACTGTATATATATATATTTTTAATTTTAAATATTGAATATTATATGATAATACTGTATAATAGTTGAGAAAAWTTTTCATTAATAGGATATAAATTTATAGGAAAATTAAATCTAAATGTTTTTTTTGAGAGGGTATTAGAAAATGTAGGGTAAATATTACTTGTCATCAGTCGCTCCCTCCCATTTTTATGATATGATATATTCATAAATAACGTTATATTTACTGTTTATAGATCCGCCCATCACTACTACAACAAYGTTCACATACAACGTAACACAAATAATTATTTTTTAAAAATATTTATTTWAAAAAAGTTTTAGTAATATTTATTTTCTATACTAATTGTGTTTCTTTTAAAAAAAATTATATTTTATCCAAAAAATTAYAAAAAAATAATTTTAATTTTAATGTATATGTTGTCCAATATCTTCAGGTATGGTATTTGTAGACATAAGCGATAGTTTGGCGGCTTTCAGACCACTGTCCACACAATCGGCCAAACATTTTGAACGYAATAAGCCGTAAATCATTGCCGAAGCAAAGCTACGATATATATATAAATAATAAAAATTATTTTAATTAATTAATTTATATTTTTTAAATATATATATATATATATATATATTAAGTATAAATATTTTTAGAAATTGGCTTAAAAATAAATAATGTGTAGGTTTTTAAATAAAATTAAAATAACTTTWTTTTATTAAAAAAAAAWTATAAAATATATCGTAAAAASTTATTTTAAAAAATATTTATATTTAGATTAATTATTAAGTTTAAAATAATGTTTTTTAAATATAGTAATAGTAATAATATTATGTTAATGTACGGTATTATATATAAATTAGATTTTATTTTATTTTTTAAAAATGAACATGCTAAAAATTAATATTAATAMTTTTAATRTAAATATTTGTAGTAAATAAATAATTAATTAATTTACWGTACGTGTTTATATGTTAATTATRTTACTTTAGATATAATTTAATTTATTAGTAATACTAAACWTAAMTAATAATAAACTAATAATAATAATCTCAATGTTAAATATTTGTTTTTTATCACTAGTAGACTATTAGTAGATAGTAGACTACTATTAGTAATCATAAAAATTTGTTTGCTATATATTATTATTATTATTAGTTTAAATGATTTATAACTTAWATACTTAAGTTTAAAGTACTTTATTATTATTACTAATCTGTAAATAAACACATAACAAATAAATGATTAAAAATAAAGATTTSTATACAACAATTATTATAGGTAGTGATACTATATTTTTATTATTATAGTATTTTAATAATTATGTAATTATTATTATTATCAAAAATAACATATATTGCTATCTAATTAAATATATTGAATAGTCATCGGAATATTCTTTATTGATGTATGTATTTATAGGTATGTGTGTGTGTGTGTGTGTGTGTGTTTGTGTGTGTATATATATATATATATATATATGTGTGTGTGTGTGTGAATGTGTATGTGTGTGTGTATGTGTGTGTCTATGTGTGTGTGTGTCTGATGTGTATGTATATATGTATGTGTCGTGTGTGTGTGTGTGTGTGTGTGTGTGTGTGTGTTGTGTGTCTATGTATGTGTGTTTGTGTGTGTGTGTGTGTGTGTGTGTGTGTGTGTGTGTGCATGTATTTATGTATGTATGTCTATGTGTATGTAAATTTGTGTGTGTGTGTGTGTGTGTGTGTGTGTGTGTGTGTGTGTGTGTGTGTGTGTGTGTGTGTGTGTGTGTGTGTRTAATAAATTTTAGGCTAATTTTATAAATTAGAAAAATAAATAAAAATAGATTTTACCTAAAATTATAATAATATTTCTAATAGATTTAACTATTTTTAAAAATTACTAATAAATAATATATATATATATAATATTATTAAAATTWAATTTTATTGTATGAAAACCACATACCAATCGCCAGCACCGGAAACATTGACAATGCTATCCTGAAGCTGATCCTCTTGTGGCCAATGATATACATTGATAGTGGTATAGGCGTCATAAAACATGGATATCTATAATTAAAAAATTAATTATCATAATTATATACTTACAATTAAAAATTTGTATAAAAAATTGATAACTAAACTGAATCTTTATGAATAATCGGCGAATTTGGTCCCAATTCAATGATATCTGATTTATCGGTAGATTTGGTTACCACTAAAACSCCAAACTTTCCCAAAGTTACGACAATTGTATGAAACAATTGTGTTTTCCTRATAATCTGTTTCGACATTTTTGTTGAATTTTCAATTAATAAATCAATACCTAAATCATCGATATTTTCGGTCAAATATTTCCCGATATTTTTATCATTTTGAAATAAATGTCGAAATATTTCAAATAATTCATAATAATTAGGTGACATAAAACACAATGATTTATAATCAATGGTTAACTTATTATTATTATTGTCGATATTATTAGTCATAAAAATTTTATGACAAATATTACGATCGGTTGGTTCGTACCAAACTATAATTGTGTTCAAAAAAATATATTAATTAATTWATTAAAATTATTTAATTAAAAATTTAATATAWAYTTTATAACAATAACAATAAAMTWTATTAAAACTTAAKAACAATACAAATTTTTACATTTTTAAGTTAGCTAATAATTAYTTACTGTATTAGATATATTTAATTTATAATTTAGTTAAAACAATAAATTATTAATTTTATATGTTATAATAATGATAATGTTGGTTATTTGTATCCAGGTTAAAATGACATAAAAATATATATAAAAAATTATAAACTGTGTAATAGTTATTAACTGTATAAGTATAGTGTACAGTAGTATAAAAATATATACCAGTGCTTTAACTTAATTTTTAGGCTAATATTAACTAATAATATTAATACATTATCATATCATAAGTTATATAACATTTTATTGATAATATTTTATTTAATTTTTTAATTTTAATTTAGTTAATTATATCCCAATAATTTTAAATTGAAAACTTTATTTGTTTGAAAAGTTTGATAACTAAATTGAAAAAAAAAGTTTAGCGCTATATATAAAAAAAATAAATAAATATAAACTGGTGTCCAATACCTGTAAACTTTTTTTTTTWAAAAAAGCTAACAGTGCTAAYCCAATATATATATATTATATAAAATAACTCATGGCTCAGGTATGTCGGTATATATTGAGGGTTGACGTCATACACCTGAGAGGAGGCATCGCAATAAATGCCATATTTTTCTCAAATGGCTGTGCATTTCATTCACTGGATTTTTTTTATRTATATAATCAAAATAGTAGTAATAAAGGTGTGAATCTTTGTTTTGTTATTATTATTTAATGATATGTTTTTTTCATATATTAATATACAGGTATATGATATGTAATAATCAGATTTTTGTSAATGTTTTCATCAAAAAAGTTATCAAATTATATATATATATATTTTGGAGAAAATTTTCTGACAATTGATTAGTGTATTCAATAACAAACAAACAAAAAAAAGTTTTTCAAAATAAAAAAATATGGTTTAATTAATTAAATAATAATTAATAATAAGTTTTTTTTATTATAAGTGTTGCGACAAAAAACTGTTTTGGTTTGTGTGTCGACACCAATCCAATGAATTTTGATACAAATATTAATTAATTAATTATTAATTTCGGGTAACAATTGTGGTCACAAAAAAATCACTGCTTATATATAATGATATAATTATGACAGACTTTATGAGAAAGTTTGTCCACAAAGTGGACGTAACGTCGGTCCGTGCGGTCACCTATGCGGCCATTTTTACATTTGTAACGGCAATCTTAACAATAGTAGCCTTTTCGACCCCGAACTGGTTGGTAGCGGATAATMGGCAACCGATAAAACGTTTTGAAAAGTTAGGTCTATGGGAGGCCTGTTTCTATACGTTCAGGGATGTCAACTATCTATACGATCGGGAGTTCAGGGGCTGTAAATGGCTTTTCGATGAAGACTATGCCTTCCTATTGGACTTTCTGGAGCCCCGTATGTATACAATAATARTAGTAGTAGTTTATACATACCATTCCCTTAAATAATATGATATCAAWGATATATATATATATATCTATTAGTMTGATATAGMTCAGGGATCAAATTTTTTTAATGGTATCACTTYATARAGTGATTGGTTTTTTGTTTGTATTTAAGTGATAATTGTTTTGTCATTTATATCATATCATATGATTGTCAATTAAAAAWTSATATATAAAATGTCATTTTTGTTTCAACTAAAAAAATAAAGTGTGAATACATGTGTTATAAATTTATATATATATAKATATTATATATATATATATATATATATATCTATATAAAGATAAATAGATAAAACAATACAATAATTTACTTTATATATTATATTAAATACCCGTTTTTAACATATATTTATCAATAGCTATCAATATATAGAGAGATATCAATTTTATTTCGATTTATTTTTTAAAAATTATTTTTTAAATTGTGTGTTAAAAATATTATATTTCATGTTTACATTTAGTAAAAAAAACATWGAAAACTAGTTACGTATGCCCTTTGAAATAGTAGTTAATAGTGATATTAATTACAATATACAGTATAACACACATATATTTCCAGTGATTTTTKAAAAATATATAAAATATGTCATATTTAACACAGATTTTTCTAGTTTGAATATAATTTATTACATTATTATTTTAGTAAATAAAACTATTATATGATTTTTATAATGTATTAACTTTTTAGCGCAATTAATTGYTAATAGCAATTATTATTATTATTATTATTATTAGTGTTTATGTTGTTTGCATTAAATACTTTCATTAAATTWWTAAAAATGTTTTAAAATGTCATTAAATTGTTGTSTGAAATGAGAGGATAGGGATAGTCTGGGAGAGAGAGAGAGAGAGAGAGAGAGAGAGAGAGAGAGAGAGAGAGAGAGGAATACCTCATGAGAGAAGTGGAATAAGCCATTCAGGTATTCCTCTCTCTCTCTCTCTCTCTCTCTCTCTCTCTCTCTCTCTCTCTCTTTGAGAGGGAGAGACGTTTTTAGGGCGTCGGTTATATACCTGTGCTATAGCTTTACCTATACTTTTACGTTTGAATTATATATATATATAAAAAATCTATACAAACACTGGTACTACTGATGAATGGCGAGTATTGGAAAAGGCGTTCAAAATATATATATATAATATACTGTCGTCTCAACCATGAAGTCGACGACTATTTCCTATTGAAAAACTCATAATTTCTTGTTATTGTCGTCAATACACCTGTAGTTTTTAATAGGTGATAGTTCACCTACAGGTTACCCCAAAAAAAAGTCATAATAATAATAATACTGATGATTATATAATAATAACTGGTGTTTATCTGTCTGTGTGTGTGTGTGTGTATGTATGTATGTGTGTGTATGTGGGATATCCCGTCCACTAATACGACTACCACTACTAAATGTGTTCAAAGTATAGCCAAAAACAACCAAAAAATTCACAACAAATCGTCCGAACCTTCCGATAGTTAATAGTTAGCCGATAGCCCCTCACACCCCCCGATAATAATGACTGAACGCCACCGTATGACCGATGCCCGTATCGCCGCCCTAGTGGTCACTGCCATTTGTTCCGTGTCGACACTTATCGGGTTTGTTACGCCCAATTGGCTGGCCTCCGATCGGCGACTATACGGTGCAAATTTTGTTAAGCTCGGTCTATGGGAAACATGTTTCCGATCCTATCATAACCCCGATGACTACGATCTGACCAAATATTATTCGGGTTGCCGGTGGATATTTGCCGACGAATACTATACTATTAGACATCTATTGATGCCATGTAATATTGATGATAATATACCCCCTATTTTATCTATATCTATATATATTGATATCATATATTTATTAATATTAATTGATTTGAATATATAATTGTTTTTAAAATTATATTTTTTAAAAAATTAATTATATTTTTTTCTCTTATCTATTATATATCTATTATAGCCTTTTTCATTGCCACCCAAGTCTTATATACAATTGGTTTCATATTTTTGTTGGTCGCCTGTATCGGCGTACTGGCCATTCAGCTATGTTTTGTTATCGATCGGGAAATATTTGCAATGAAAGTCCTATCGATTACAATGTTTTTGGCCGGTAAGTGATTGATTGATTGACACCAATAGATACCCGAATAATTACCCGATTGATTGATTGATTTATAATTTTTTTTTTTTGTAAATTATAGCCTTATTTACGACAATAGCTGTACTAATATTCGGTATTAGAGGCGACGATCGTGATTGGATGCCCGATCACGACCACAATTTCCTGTCCTGGAGCTACGGTCTGGCCGTAGTCGGCGTCTTTTTCGAGTGGATGTCGGCCATATTGTTTTGGGCCGAAAGCCGTATACTTTACAAGAAAGAGCTCAAACGGGAACAACAGATGTTTAATATGGAGCCGACAAACATCAAGGCTTAGTGGGGGTGTGGGGGAGTGGGAGGAGGACGGGATATGATTGATAACCCCCCCCCCCATCAATGTTAAAGTTAATAATTATTTAATACCAATTATTAGTAATATTGTTGTGTTATTTAATTGAGATAATATTTAATAGGTTTTTTAAAAATTGATTGATTAAACCCATTGATTATTATTATTATTATTACTGTAATATTGAATGTGTTAATTATTCCGTCCTTTTTTATATATAAAAAAAACAATTCAATGATTGAATGATAAAATCTATTGATATATATATATTAATATGAAATATTGAGATACCTTAACAATTTTATATATATATGTTTATTAATAACTATATATATGTGTTTCATAAAAATATTATACTGTATATCAAAACAACAACAAAAAACTGTAAAATCAATTATCATATGTTTAATGCACTCTTAATTTTTATATATATATATATATATATATATATATATAATTTATATATATTTTTAAAAAAAAACAATTTATAATTTTTATATAATTATATACAATATATCTCATAAATTTATAATATCTCTCAAATATCTCATTTTATTTTAGATTTTTTGTGCACACAAACAATTGTGTTTTTTTTTGTGAAATTATTAATGATAAGCTATAATTTTTTTGTATAGCTCCCCGCCCGCCCCCGCCCCCCAATAATTTTGTAAATACAATTACAATAATAATAATTCTGCATGTATTGTAATTTAATTTATAATAATATAAATTAATATTATTGTTAATAATAATAATAATAATTAAGCTCACAATAAATTTTTTGACTAATAAAAAAAGTTAACATTTAGCGATTAACAAACATTAATTAATTAATTAATTATTTTTTTTTGTTAAAAATAATTTACTTTCAAAAATTCAATATATTTAATATTAAAATAATATTAATATTAATATAATATTAAAAAACAATATCTATTATATATATACAGTATATTGTTTATAATAATTAAATGCTCAATAATACCTTAAAATAATATCGTCAAATTATGAATAATAATAAAAAATTTAAATTTAAAAAATTAATATTAGTTTTTAATTTTGTGTTAATTAAACAACATTTTTAGTAATTTTTTTGTTTATTGCTAAGCAATTATTATTATTATTTTATTTTTTTAAAAATTGCTAATTAAATTAAAAATGAGTGTTTCAATTGATTTTTGATTATTATTTTTATCAAAAAAAAAAATAAAATATATTAACGTCATCATATTCAATGCTAATCATAATCATAATAAAAATAATATCAATTACAGTATTATTATTATTATAAAATAAAATTTTTATCCAAAAAAAATGATAAGTCATCGGTTTATTAAACAAAAAAAATTGATTTTTTGATTTAACTCAATTTTATTGTTATTATTATTATTATTATTATTATTATTTTCACTGATAATAATGACAAAATATTTTATATATTATATTATTTAATAAAATTATAGAGTATTTTCGCAAAATATATGATTTCTAATATATATTTTTTTTAATATTATATATTATATATGTGTTTATCAAATAATGATTACGTAAAACTTTTTCATTTATGTATATATTAATAATATATGAAAAAATGAAGTTATTTTTAAACTACTAAGAAATAAAAATCAATATTATATTTCATTATAATTATGATATTATATATATATATATATATATATATACCGGTATACTGTATATATATAGACAGAGAGAGAGAGAGAGAGATATAGAGAGATAAATCTTTAAGGGATTTAAATTACATGACTTTTGTTAAGCAATAACAGCATAACATCACTAATGATAATAATAATAATAATAATAATTTTATGTAGAGATTATGTACATAATTATTAAAATTTAAAAATAGATTATTTAATAGAAAATTCATTTTTTTAAGTCAACAACATTATTATATATATTATATTTCATTTAAAAATCAATATTAATATATAATTAAATCAAAAAATAAATTAATTAAATTAAGCTATATATATATTATTAATATATATATACGTATATAAATTACCAGTATCAATTAATTTGTGCTTTTTTTTATAATAGTGAGAGGTATTAATAATTAATTTAAAATTTAAATATAAATAAATAACTTAAAAAATTAATAATAATAATAAACAACATTAACAATAAATAGATAATTAATTAATTAATTAATTATAAATAAATAAATAATTAAAAAAAAAATTTTCTCATAAATCAAACAATCATTTCTTGTTGTTGTTGTTGTTGTTATTGGGAAACAATTCTTCGGTAACTTTCGTATCGATTCGTGACTCGGAGTAACCAAAAGTGGTCAACAATAGTCGCAAACCACCGACCACTCGGGCCATCACTTCGACCCGATTCTTCAGCTGTTGGTTTTCGGACATCAGTTCATTGATACGAATTTCGTTCAATTTCAGTCGTCGTTTGGCTTTTTCCCGACTCTTGCGGACAGCGATGTTATTCTTCTCGCGTTTCTGTTTATAATCATCAGTGGATCTACTGTTGTTGGATCTGCTGCTGCTGTCGTCAACAACAACGACGACACCTTTATCGCTATTATGATGACTACTACTGATATGATGATGATTAGGATCTTTCATTAGTGTCAACAACGGCTGATGACCACTGGTGGCCACTACTGTCGCAGCCGGCTGTATGCCAGTAGAGTACAGTACACCACCACTACTACTATTGGTGTTATTCATAGGCCGATGATGTTGTCGATGATGATGATGAGGATGAGGATGAGGGGGAACTGTAGTAGTAGTAGTATCAGTAGGTATGGTATCTATTAAGTTAATATCCGTTTGGCAACAGCTAAGTGTCGTATAGTTGTTGTTAGCAGTAATAGTAGTCGTATTGTTATACCGATGATGATTAGGTTTGACAGATAAATAATTGTTGTCAATAATTAATAAATTTTTATTATCATTATTATGATTATTATTATGACTGTTATCGTCATCGATGGTATTATTATCGATTCTGTTATAATAATCATTATTATTATTATTATTATAGCAACTATTATCGTGTTGTTGTTGTTGTTGATAATGATGATAATTATCACTATTGAATCTGATTTGTTGTTGCATTTGTATTATTAAAATAATAATAATAATACAATAGTTTTTTGTAAATAATATTATTGATGAATATTAATAATAATTATTATTAGAAAATATTAAAATATATATTTTTTTAAACACAATATGAAACACACAAACAAATTATTATTATTATATTAATAATAATTTATTATATATATATATATATATAAATCAATACAAGAATATTTGATTCAATATAATTTTTTTTATTATTATTACAATACAACACAAGTTTTTTTTAAATAGGGAAATGTTTGTACTGTATTTGAATAAACTAAATATGTTTTTTTGTGAAATGTTTCACAAAAAATAAAATAAAAAATAAAATGATATTTAATAAAAATTATTAATTTGTTTTATAATTTTGATATATAAAACTTTTGTTGTTGTTGTTGTTAATATACGATTACTATTTTAATTTTTTATAAAACACATATATTTAATTTTTCAACAAAAATATATATATAATAATCTGTATGTGTGTGTGTGTAGTGTTTAACTACCTTATAATACTGTAATAATTATAAGCATATTATATATATATATATATATATTATTAATTAAATCAAATTATTATTATTTTTTATAAAACAGCTTTTCATTGAATTATAAAAAACACAGAGTAGTAGTAGTAGTAGTAATAGTAGTGTTTTATATAGTAGTTATTGATTCACTATTGATACACAAATTTATAATAATAATAATAATAATAATTTATAATACTTTTATAAATAAATAAATTAGAGGCCAACAACACAAAAAAAATAAAATTAACTAAAAATATAATTATTTTTTAATTATTATTATTATTATTATTAAAAACATGTGTTAGTTTATTTAATATTTTTTTTAAATTGTATTATTATTATTAATATGCGATAATATAATAATAATAATAATAATAACAGTCAAGAATATATTATAAATATACTGTTATGAATAATAACAATCAAATAATATTTTTTATGACAGAATATATATGTGACACAACAATATAATAACAAAATAATAGGTAATAACTTTTTTTTTAATAGTTTATATACAATATGATATATAATATGATAAACAGTATAACTGTATGTATATAACTGTTTAGTTTGACAAACATATACAATATAACTGTTGATATAATAATAACAACAACAACACAATGATATTTAATGACAAAACAGCAGTCAAACAAACCGACACCAAAAAAAATAAGACTAGAAATAATAGTTTTATATATATATATATATATATATATATATATATATATATATATATAAACTAATATATAATTCAGTACTAAATACTATATATATACTGTCAGTATGTTTGCTGCGAAACATTTGACGAGTTGTGCAACAAATATACAGTATATTTATGTATTATATATCAATATACCTGTATATCTAAGTAAAAGACAATTTTGTATCTCTCTCTCTCTCTCTCTCTCTCTCTCTCTGTAATACCTGTATAGTCTATAGTTATATTATATAATTAGTAGTTAAGGCAACAAAAAACTTTTCAAAAAAAAAGTAGATGTCATTTGAATAATCAGTTGCGAAATCATATAAGATATATATAGGTATAGTTAGTATACCTGTAGTATAGTTAGTAACTTATAGTATATATATATATATATATATCATATAAATTATATAATATAAGTAATGTTTTTTTTCAGAGATTCACTAATGCATTACATTCATAGATCGTTTACTTTATATGTTTTTTTTGGTAACTATTATTTTGCTGTGTGTTTGTGTTGAATGTCAAACAACAAAATTACTTGACTCCAGGTTTGCGCAACAGTTGTCATATATTAATATATATATACTGTATATATACTGTATATATATATGCTAAAAATTATGGTTACCAGCGATTAAAATTAATTATATAATATATATGATCTGCACAAATATGACATTTTACTATATATATAATATACTATACTGTATATAAACTTTATATATTTAGTATACATATTAAAAAAATATTGTATATAATTGATATCATTTATACGCTTCTATAGTTCATTATTTTTATAATATATATGTTTATAATGTATATACAGGTATGATATATATATGATATGATATGATTTAACTAACTAACTAAAAAACAAAACAATTAAACATATCCATGATTTAGATAATTGTTTATTATTATTATTATGCAATAGTAGATTAAAATAAATATTTTTTTAAAAAAATTGTTGTTATCTTTATGTGTGTGTGTGTGTGTGTGTGTGTGTGTGTGTGTGTGGTTATGTGAAACAAAAAATAAAACAAGTTTATAAACTAATCAATAATATATATATATATATATATATATATATATATATATATATATATATATATATATATATATATATATATAACTTATATAATATAACAAACAATTATCGAGAGGTGTTTAAATGTTTGTATTATTATTGAATATATTATTGTTTTTTTATTATAATTATGAAAATATATTCAATAATATACTGTATATACTATTATTGAATATATTTTCAAATCATATTCATTGTATACTAATTTATACAATTAATATAAGTTAATAAACAAAACAAAATTTTACCATAAATACTATTTTTTTTATATTATATAATATACAGTATATATATTAATATTAATTTATGTAATACATAAATATTTTTAATTAAATAATAACATATGTTTACTATTTAATCAATTGCTAAACTAATTGATACCGGTATTTACTTGTTTAAGTTAATTATTAATATAGATAATTAATTTTTTAAAAGTACAATTAAAAAAAAATTAATGTAAATTATTTTTAAGTTTTATTATCAATAAAAATCAAATGTACAGTTAAAATATAACAATATTTAAACTAATTATTTTTTTGGGGGGAAAATTATGTTTAAAAATTTATAAGTTTTTTTTAAACAAAATACTAGCAAAAAATATTATTATTAATAATAATAAATTATTGTAAATAAAATTACAAACTTAAAAAAATTAATATATATTATTTTTTTAGCATTTATATTAGATTTTTATTTTTTATTGATAATAAATTGTAGATATCATTAAATATTATATCTATAGCATATCAACAAATATATATTAATTTTCAATTTATATATCAATCTATATATTAATAATATAAATGAAAATATTATATCATATATAATACTACCCAACAACAACAAAAAATATATATTAAGTTTTTAGACAACATAATTTATTGGGGCATACAATGCAAGTGTGTGTGTATTATACCTGTATATATACTGTACAGTATATTACTATTACATTTACTGTATTTATGGGGACAGGTAGCTCTCTCCAGGTAACTGTCCTGCGCACATGTATACCCAATAACTTTTTTTTTTTAATTTTTGCTTCAAAAACAATGTTTATTTGAAATCATTTTACATTTTGTATGTATTTATATAGTGTACGGTAAAAGTTAATAATATTGGTTATCAACTAAACAAAAAAAAGTGTTTTACCACACAATATGTATGTATAATATTGTTAATAAGTTTACTATAATTTTTTTAAAAAAAAAAATTAAAAATGTTTATTAGTTTTAAGTTTAATTTATTAGTAGTTACTAGTAATACTATATATATATACAATACAGTATATACTGTACATAGCATAGGGATAGGGATAGGCATGCAAAATGATGGCAGTCTATCCAATAGGGTGGGGCGTTCACCCAAAAAAATTATATTTGTTATATACATTATGTTTGTTAGGCATATATAATAACATCATATACAGTATATATATATTACTTAGAAATTTATCTGTGATTTTTTTATATATATATATAAAAAATTAAATGCAATTTTATATTAATCAATCAATCAATCAATTTGTGTTCACATTATTTAATAGGCAATCAAATTGTTTGGACACCAGTAATAACCAGTGAATAATAATAACCGATAATAATGTCAAGTCTTAGCGGTGGCAGCAGTCGTATGAGCGGCGATGATATACCGCCTAAATATCGTCTAAAAACATCGTATACCCTACTGGCCTCCGGTTATGTAGCATTGGCCGCATTGGTCACCCTAATCATATCGTTTGCCAGTCCCTATTGGCTATCATCTCATAGATATACGTACAAAAATTTTGTTAGACTCGGTTAGTATTTATTTTTTTTTTATATACCGTATAATAGATAACTTTTTTGTTGTTTGTTTTAATTATTAGTAAATTATAAGCTAATATAAAAAATTTAATTTAATTGTTGTTATGTTTTGTTGTATCAATAGGTCTCTGGGATTTTTGTTTCGACCATTACAGGTATATATATACAGTATATATATATATATATATATATATATATATATATATATATATATAATCTATTTTATATGATATATTTGGTAATTTGATAATAAGTTTTGTTATTATTATTGTTGTTATTGTTGTTGTGTTAATCATATACTGTAAATAAGTAATATTATATATATATATATAACACTTTATTAAACTTTAATTATTGTCTAGAATTATTTATTATATAATATATATGATATTTAATTTAATTAAAAAATATCATTTATCTATCATCTATTATATATGATTAGTATTTATTTGTAGCCATAAATTAAATTTAATTAATATATCATATAATAATAGTCTATAAAATATCTATAAAATTTTTTATTTGACTAATTGATTATTGTATTTATTTAACTAATTGATTATATGCATATATTTATATATATAGGCACCCACCCTATCAATATGATGAACTATTCAATGGTTGTCACTGGATCTATAGCTCCAAGTACCAGAACATTAGAGATTGGCTACAACCGGGTAATTTGATTAAAAATTTATACCGGTTATCCCCACCCCACCCCACCAATTGGTTTATAGTCGGTTATCTACTACAATGACAATTGGTCACAAAAAACGGTTTTAATATACAATATTATACTGTATATATAGAGATATGATAACACCACCAAATCATACCTACCAACCAACCAACCAGCCAACACACCCAATAACAACAATTATCAATAGTATATGACTTCCCCCCCCCCACTGATAAGATATCTGTGTTTTACTGGTATATACAGTATATTATTATTATTAGTATAACTATTATGTATTTATGATATTTAGAGAGAGATTATGTCAATTACTACTGTTTTTTTGTTGGTTGAATACAGTATTAAATTATTATATCAAATAAATCAAGTAATTGATTTGTTATGGTTTTTACTGTATATAATGAGTTATAATTTTTTTATTTAAAAAATTATAATTTCTAATATTGTGTATTATTATTTTTTTTAATTAATTAATTAATTTTATTTGCATCTAGGTTGGTTTATGTTTGTCCAGGGAATGCTATGCATATCATTGATATTTTCGGTACTATCGCTGGCCTTAATCAGTGTAACTATAATGCATTTTCTTAACCGGTATGTCGTAGCCGTAATCGGGTCGGCATTTTTGATGCAAGTTTGCGCCGGTAAGTGTGTTGGACATACACACACACACATACATACATACAGACACATACAGACACATACAGACACATACAGACACATACAGACACATACAGACACATACAGACACATACAGACACATACAGACACATACAGACACATACAGACACACATACAGACACACATACAGACACACATACAGACACACACACACATACATACAGACACACACACACATACATACATACAGACACACACACATATAGACACACACATATACAAACACACATACATACAGACACACACACGCACACACACATATATATATATATACAATTAGTTTTTTTTCAATACATTACATATAATTTTTAAAAAAATAATTCTGTATATTATGTAATAATAATAATAATAATAATATCTATATATTTCGTGAGTTACTATACTAACTATTAAATAAATAGCTAACAAAATACATAAATGTAATGAATTATATATATACACTGTATTATATAACTACTTATACAGTATAATAATGCTCTACTAATAACTAATTTTTTTATTTATAATTTTTTTTAAAAATTTTCATATAATAATAATTATTATTATTATTATTATCTCACAGAATCTCAATTGTATACAAAAATCAGATGAAATTGTTAATTTCAATAAAAACTTCAATTTAGTATTTAGTATATCATAATCAATATACTGATAATGATGTTAATGCATATTAATAACAACAACAACAACAAAAATTACATAAAAATTAATATCACACACACATACATACATACATACATACACATACACATACACATACACATACACATACACATACACATACACATACACATACACATACACATACACATACACATACACATACACATACACATACACATACACATACACATACACATACACATACACACACATACACACACATACACACACACACACACACACACATACACATACACATACACATACACATACACACCTAATAGGACATTAATAATAATAATATCCATAAAACTAATTGATATATTTGTTTGTTTTTTTCACACATATATATAGCAATACCCTTATTCCTGGGTTGGCTAGTATTCTGTATAATGCATTCCGACCGATCGTGGCTTATGTATCCCATGTATAACCATCTGGATTGGGCCTTCTATGTATGCATACTGTCCAATGTGTTGCACCTGTTAGCCGGCCTAATGCTATTGTATGAAACATTTAAGACCCGACAGCGCAAACAAAAGTTGACAAACTTGGTCTACAATATGCAGCCCAGGTTTTAGACCCAATTTTATTTTTTTTGATATATATATGATTTTTTTAATTGTCATATCATTATTATTAAATGCCATATATTAAATGTCTACCAAAATAATAAAAACATTTAACTATTATTATTGTCTACCCGTCCCATATACCACACCTCCATTCAAAACTAATTCATGCCATTATTATTATTATTATTATTATGAAACACATAGTGTGCACACCCTTTCATTATTATTATTATTTTTATTGATAAAGTTTATTATCATATGAATTATGATTTTTATTATTATTATTATTATTAATGGATTAGTTATTATTTTACAAAAAAAATTAAAAAAATGTTTTAATATTCTATATGTTATTTAATATTATCAATTTTATTTTTATTTTATTTAACGTTTATATTATTTTATTAATATATATGATATTATTATTATTGAAAGTAATTATTAATGATTTATATTAATTAATTAAAAAAAATTTAATCGCTTTACAATTTTAATTTTTTTTTACAATTTGCACCCAAATTATTGTTGCTTATAATTTCATTATCACATTAAAATATATTATTATTATTATCATTATTTTATTTATTAATTAAAAAAAATTATTAGTATATTGTTATTATAATTAACAATTAACTATAACAAACCACACACCAAAAAAATGTTTATTAAAATTATTTACTTATATATTATTTTTTATATGATTTATTCATATATTTTTTCAGACAACCCAATAGTGATGCCTACGATTCAACAATGCCTTTGAAAAAGTCAAAGTCATCACCCATTGAAAGACATACACACTTTTCGCAAGTTTAACACATAATAATAATAATAATAACCACAAAATAATTAATTAATTAATTAATTAATAATATTAACCAACAATTTTTGCACAATTAGTCTCTCTGTTTTTTTGGGTGTAAATAATAGTTTATTACACATTAATTAATTAATTAATTTTGATAGCAATTTACTTATATATATATATATATAAAACAACATGTTTTTGATAGCAATTTTTTAGTTATATATATAGTGCAAAATATATATATATATATATAGTTAAATACTTGCTATTAAATCATATATACTAATTTATTATTATTATATAATTAATTAAATTTCAAAACACTACTTACCGGGAACGGTATATTTTGAGCACACATCCAATACATAGGCCATCGATTCAATGGGTATATTAGCGTCAATTATAACTAACGGTGCAATTTTGATGTCATCAACAAATTGTGATATCTATTTATATAAATTATAATTGATTTTTCACCAAATAAATTTTTAAAAAAAATATATTAATATATAATTAACAATATATAGTACACTAAATATTTTTTTGCAATATATTTACCAAACAATTTATACATTTTAAATATTAGTGTGTATATCATTATTATTAGTATTTTTTAGTAAATATCATAATTAAAATATTATTAATGATAAATAGTTACTATTAAATAACAACAACAAAAATTTAGACTGTATCCATATATCAATTGTACAAATAAAAAATAAATAAAATAAATTATAGCATAATTTTTTTATATATATATATTAATATATAATACTTATACTTATCAGTACTTATGAGATATCATGATATCATATATTAATATATATATTAATATAATGTAATTACTTAAGCATTAGTTAACAACATTAGTTAGTTACTAAAAAAAACGCTAAATGGATATTAAATTTATTATATATATATATACTGTAAATTATATATATATGTATACATATGTATAATATAGATATATATAATAAAATTATGAAAAAAAATAAAATAATTAAATACAAATTACATGTTGTTTAGTAATTAATTGATGACATCGGAGATCGCCGACCACTAGTCGACATTCACCGTTGCCGTCGACAATGACAGTACACGAAGAGGTCGGTATTTCATCTGATATTTCTATACCATTGGGATTCTGTGAGATAATAATAATAATAATAATAAAATGAAAATTAAAAAAAATTAAAAATAAAAAAATAGTTATTAGTAGAGCATTATTATATAAGTGAAGTTATATATACTGTATATATATATATATATATATAATTCATTACATTTATGTATTTTGTTAGCTATTTATTTAATAGTTAGTATAGTATAACACGAAATATATAGATATTATATATTATTATTACATAATATACAGAATTATTTTTTTTAATTATATGTAATGTATTGAAAAAAAAAATTGTGTGTGTGTGTGTGTATATGTGTGAATGTGTGTGTGTGTGTATGTGTGTGTGCATGTATGTATATGTGTGTGTATGTGTGTGTATGTGTTTGTATGTGTGTGTATTTATTTTTGTGAGTATGTATGTGTGTGTGTGTGATATTAATTTTTTATGTAATTATTGTTTTTGTTGTTGTTATTATGCATTAACATCATTATCATTATATTGATTATGATATACTAAATACTAAATTGAAGATTATTGAAATTAACAAAAAAATGTTTTTATACCAATGTATAAATATGTTATAAATATTGATATATTAATTTTAGTATATAATTAGTGTAATTATGGAAAAATTAGTAAATTTTTGCTAATAATAGTTTGTTTAATTTTTTATTGAAGAAAAAAAACTAAAAAATTAATGGTAACAATAGTTTTCCACAAAAAAAAAATTAAACTAATATAATATTTTTAATAGTAATTTCTATTGTAATATATCTTTGTTTTATGTTTTTTATTAAATTTATAAATAAAATGTATATTAATAAATATTTTGTTGTTTATGATGCATAAATTTTAAATAATATATATATATATATTACTATTAATATATATCCTAAATATTGCATAGATATTTTATTATTATTATTATTATTTGATATTTTGACATTAAATTATTTATATAAAATATATAATATTGCAATAGTGGGTCAAATCAGCAAAATAGTTTTGTTTTTATTTAAATAATTAAAAACATAATTATTACATAAGCTAAATTATTGAAAACTTTCCCTATAATAAACAAATGCTTATATACACTAATATTTCAACATTAAATAATTTTATATTGAAGTCAAGGATATATTGTAAGGGTATTTTATTTGTTATACTCTGAAAAATTATTTCAAAAATTATTCTTATTTTTATTTGTTAAAAATTTATAACAGCACTAAAATGTTTTACAAAAAACCTAAAGGTAAACACCTTGTTTTTAAGGAAACTTTATCCAATATTTTGTGTTAAATAGAGTGTTAAAATAATGCACTAAAATGTTATAGAAAAAATTAAATAGTAAACTCCCAGTTTTAATAGTGATTAAATCCTGACTCAATGTGACACACTTTCTCCTCACGTACACTTTAGTATAAATAGAGGTGTCTCTCAGACACCAAAATCAGTTCTCCATTTGGAGTCATACTACGTGTATTACTTTAAAGTGAATTAATAAAAGTATTTGCATATTACTTTGTGTGTGTGTTTACTTTGTCATCGCGAATCAACTGTTTGGACATCTTAAGGGACGCCTTTGGACCTATCCACAACTACGCGGACAGCTAACAACTATTACGTAAGTAAATATTTTTATTATGAGAACTCCGGACCCCGTATCCGTTAACGGACGGCTCTTAGTGTACCTTATAGGCCCACGGTCCTTATAGGCCCACGGTCCTTATAGGCCCACGGTCCTTATAGGCCCACGGTCCTTATAGGCCCACGGTCCTTATAGGCCCACGGTCCTTATAGGCCCACGGTCCTTATAGGCCCACGGTCCTTATAGGCCCACGGTCCTTATAGGCCCACGGTCCTTATAGGCCCACGGTCCTTATAGGCCCACGGTCCTTATAGGCCCACGGTCCTTATAGGCCCACGGTCCTTATAGGCCCACGGTCCTTATAGGCCCACGGTCCTTATAGGCCCACGGTCCTTATAGGCCCGCGGTCCTTATAGGCCCACGGTCCTTATAGGCCCACAGTCCTTATAGGCCCACGGTCCTTATAGGCCCACGGTCCTTATAGGCCCACAGTCCTTCCAGGCCCACGGTACTTCCAGGCCCACGGTCCTTCCAGGCCCACGGTACTTCCAGGCCCACGGTCCTTCCAGGCCCACGGTCCTTCCAGGCCCACGGTCCTTCCAGGCCCACGGTCCTTCCAGGCCCACGGTCCTTCCAGGCCTTGTAACCCTATACGGATCCGAAACCCTAGATGGATCTGAATCCCTACACGGATCTGAAACCCTAGACGGGACTGAAACCCTAGACGGATCTGAAACCCTAGACGGATCTGAAACCCTAGACGGGACTGAAACCCTAGACGGATCTGAAACCCTAGACGGATCTGAAACCCTAGACGGATCTGAAACCCTAGACGGATCTGAAACCCTAGACGGATCTGAAACCCTAGACGGATCTGAAACCCTACTTGGGTGACAGAGCCTATTTGGGTGACAGAGCCTATTTGGGTGACAGACCCTATTTGGGTGACAGACCCTATTTGGGTGACAGACCCTATTTGGGTGACAGACCCTATTTGGGTGACAGACCCTATTTGGGTGACAGACCCTATTTGGGTGACAGACCCTATTTGGGTGACAGACCCTACTTGGGTGACAGACGCTATTTGGGTGACAGACCCTATTTGGGTGACAGACCCTATTTGGGTGACAGACCCTATTTGGGTGACAGACCCTATTTGGGTGACAGACCCTATTGGGGGACAAAACCTATTTGGGCTAAAGAATTAATTGGTCAGAGTAGAATAAATAGGAAACCGCTCGTTCCTAAGCCACGCATTACTATAAGTTATCACTAAAAGAGTCAAAACCGTAAGGTAAGTGGTGTATTGCCGAGTGTTTGGTTTACATAAGGAAGGTTAGACAAACTTAGATACCCGTAATGTACCCACTTCCCCTACAATATAATAATAATAATAATAAACCCCATAAACCAAATGTCATGTAAAACAATAATAATAATAATCACCAGTAATTACCAGTAGACAATGTTTTAGTATAAAATACTAAAAAACTTTTTTTTTTAAACTAAAAACTAAAAAAATAAAATAAAAACTCACTTTTAAATCATTACACCGGAGTATGGCTTTACCATTGCTATCGTTTCCAACTGAAGATATAAATATAGGATTCAAACCAAGTTTTGATAGACAATCAAATATATTGCGTCCGACGCCACCCAATGTTGTCCTAATGTTTCCGCTATAAGTACTGCCGTCTAACTGTATATATATATATAAATGGGTTTTAAATCATAAAATAATAGACATTATTATAAATCATATATTATTATTTAATTTTTTTTCTGAAAAAATGATTTATTTATTAAGTTATATATATATATATTATAGTTATTTATTTATGTTATTAGATTCTGTATATATATATATATATATTGTTTTGATAAATAGTTTTATATGAAATAATTGTTTTTGATATATAAAATTTTTCAGAAAATATAATAATAAAAATCTATTATATCGTTTAGCATCTATTATTATATTATATTCAATAATAATATATCATATATTTATTTATTTATTATTATTTTTGATTGAAAGCTATTTCATGGGCTAAGAATGCAGAATAACTACTAATTTTTTGGTAATAATAATATAATAATATAATTAATTAATTAATTTATCAAAAATTTTTTGGTTGTTTGTTATATATATATGTTTTGAAAATAATTTTTGAATTATAAAAATATTCTTTTATATAAAATTTTTATAATAAAATACAATTTTATTTTTATACAAAAAAATGTCATTAAAATATTTATTACTCTATAAAACTAAACTTGATTTTTAGTATTTAATAATTTTTTTTTAAAAAAAAATCAAATCAAAAATCTTATTCAATTTATAAATTTAAATCAAAATATAAATAATTTATAAAAAAAATGTCAAAAAATATTATTTGATATAAAAAATGCGCAAAGAATACATTTTAAATGGGTATAAAATGGGAAAATAAATTTGAAATAACATTACATACACACACCAACAAAAAAATATAAAATAAAATAAAACTTTTTTTTGGTTATATTTTTATTTGTGTAGACATTTCGTGAACCAATCGATTTGTCGGTGCCATTGATTGATTGAAAATAAATCTATAAAAGTTTTTTGTTGTTGTTGTTGAATATATTTTTTTATATAAGTTAAATATATATTTAAAAAGTTTTTTATTTGGGTTTCAATTTATTGAATTTCTATGGGATACATTGCATACATAGCCGAAAAAAAACTAAAATAAATTTGTTTTTACAATAAAATAAATGGAAAGTACAGTAATGTATTGTATGGCATATATATATACAGTATATATATATATATATATATATATATATTATATATTATATATTATATATTATAAGATATATTGAAAGACAACTATTGATGTGTGAGTGCGCACAAGTGTTGACCAAATATATATATATATTTCTCAATATCAATACATATACAGTATATATACTGTATATATACCATATAAACGGTCTGACATACAGTAAGTTACATAACAACTACTACTACTACTATCGGCGCCGGAGACGACTGAGTCAACTCCATAAGCAAAATCAAACCGACTTAAACATAGAGAGAGAGAGAGAGAGAGAGAGAGAGAGACTTATATATAGATTTTTCAATATATACAGAATATTCTGTATATACAATATATATATATAAACTGACTGACTCTGTGTGTGTTTTAATGTATAGCAAAAAATTCAGTCTTCAATTGATATCACAAATATATTTCAAGATTTTCTTTATAATAATAATAATAATATGACTCTCAAGTAATGTCTATACTATTTAATGTACTGTAATATCATAGCCAACATATATAAAAAAAACATTGACAACTAATTAATGATATTTTGTTTAGTCATTAATGTTTGGCAATCATTAGCAGTCGATGGCAAACAAATACAACTACTATTATAGCTATATATAATATATATTAAAATACAGTATATAAACAAATTGTTTGTTAAATTTTGTGTTTTATTTTTAATTTAATCTATATTTAGATTTTTTTTCTCTCTCTCTCTCTCTTTATCTAATCGCTAGTGTTTTGTGTGTTAGTGTGTTATTGTGTGTCCGCATCACAGTATCTCTCCATCACTTACTTAATAATATAACAATAATATTATCATTATAATACAATTATTATATTATATATATTTATATATATATATAATAAAAATGTACAGAAAAAATCCCATATACTGTATAATAAATCAATGGATAATTTGAATTATTTGGATTCAGTAAGTAATTATAATAATTAATAAATAAAATGTATTATTATTATTATATTAGATTTTATTCAATTAATATATATATGAATTATCATATTATCTATATGTATAGTATAACTATCTGTTTAATGTATTATTTAGGTTTCTTTTAGTTACATTGTATACTAGATATTTAAAATTATAATTTAGTATTTAAAAAAACTAAAAATTTATATACAATTTTATTATGTAATTTACTATCTTATATATATATATAATAAAAATTAGCATAATTTTAATGGTTATGTTTATTATTATTATTATTATTATTATTATTATTATATTTATAATAAATATTTATTGATATAATGTTTATTGTTTATTTGATACAATTTACATAATATATAGATATTTATATATATATATATATATATAATGTCTACCGTTATATGTTTTAATAAAATACTAATAATAATAATAATATTAATACAAATTAGATGCTAATTATCATATATTAAAGAAAATAATGTCCATTATATATATATAATATATGAAAAATATGTTACCATTAATAATAAAATAATTTATTTTATTTATTTTTAATAATTTTCTAGTTTTTTTGTTGGTATTTAATTTTTTATATATCATGTACTTTATATATAAATTATATTTAAAAAAAATAATGATTCACTTTGTATTCATGTCTTAACATAATTAGTTAAATAAATATATATAAAAAATGATAATTAAGGCACACTTGAATGAAAATAAATAAATAAAAATAAAAAATATATATCTAATGTTAAAAAATAAAATTACAACAACAAAAAATACTAATTGCATTATAAATTAATTGTAACCAATTTTGGTTTAATTTAGATAAATTTATTTTTTTTGTTGTTGAATACTATCATTATAAAACAACAACAACAAAAAATATTACAATAATATTATTATCATTAATAATACTAATAATAATAATGATACTAAATTTGTACTAACTATTAGATAATAATAATAAAAATAGTATAATAATTAACTATTAAATCTGGAATTATAATATAAATTAATATTTATTAAATAAAATTTTAATAATTTTTACTAAATATAAAATGTTTCACTTAAAAACATCTGTTAAATTATATTTAAAAGATAGGATTTAAAATAAATTTAAAAACAATTACAACAACAACAACAACAACAAAATAGTTAAACTAAATTAAATTCAAACTTTCAATTGTCATTATTTTAGACAAATGTACAGTAATTTAAATAATGAAAACAAAATAAAACTAAACTATTATAATAATTATTATTATTATTATTTACATTTAGCTTATATATACAGTACAGCTAATGGACTAATGGATTTCAAACGAGAGAAATTTACTGATTATTTTAATTTAATTAAATATATTTATATAAACAAAATAATACTTTAGATAAAACAAATTTGTTTGAATAAAACTCAAAAATAAATTGCACTAATTTATAGATAATTAGATTATATTAGATATATTTTTTATTATTGTGTTGTATATAATAATAATAATATATATATATTAGTTTGAATTTAATATTATAGGATAAATAGCAAATTTCCATAGAAATTTATCTGATTTAACATTTTTTTTTGTTGTCGATAAAAATAAATCATTTAATTACAAACAAATAATAATAATAATTGTATTAAATTTTCAAATATAATATCTAATAAATTTTTACTTTGATTAATTAATTAATTATTACAATAAAAAAAATTAAAAATAAATAAACTAGAAACTAGGTAAACTTTATAATAATAATTTTTAGAAATTTATTTATTGATTATTTATACTATAATAAGACACTCTCACAAAAATTACAAGTAATATTTTCAAAGAAATATTCTCCAAATGTTTTTTTTAATTAACTTTTTTTTGTTTGTTTTTTTAGTATAGTTATTTATACTACTATTACTAATCTAAAGTACAGTAGTTTCACATTAATATTTAATTATCAATTTAATTATTATACAGTTGCACCACTACTACTATTTTTTTAGATATATATCCTAAATTTGCATATTATATTAAAATTAAATTAAATATCTATATATATGCTTATTTGATTAACCTGGATCCTGGATATTTTTTTAATTTTAATTTTATTATATTTTTTCTGTATTTTATATAGATATACAGTACTACTACTGTTACTACTAAGTATAACTTGTATAATGAAATTTAATTTTATAATAATAATAATCAAACATTGGCTACAATTTTATTTTGTGTGTGTGTCGGGCACATCAAACATAATGTAGAAAATAAATATTAATATAAAACATATTATTATTATTATTATTAATATTAAATATTATTAATAAAGTGCTTCCGAAATATTAGACACACAAAAAAATTAATTAAATTCAATTTTTTTTTTCATTAATACAAAAAAAAAGAAATCATAAAAATTTCATTCATTTAAAACTCTTTAAAAACTAATTTAAAAAAACTAATAATAATAATAATTTTTATTAATAATAAATTTATCAAAAAAAATAATATTCTTTACTAATATTAATATATTAAATAAATTGAATATAATTCAAATAAAATTTACAAAAAATCTAACATTTAATTATTGATTATTATTTAAAATTTTAACAATTTAATAAACATTAAATAAATAAACTATAAAAATAAATCTATATATTTAGTAGTAGTAGTATATCTAGTATATAATTTAGGAAATTAATTATTTATTTTTTAAATAATAATAATAATTAAAAACTCTAATTACTGTTTAATTAAATTTATTCTATATATATAAATATTATTATTATTATTATTATTAATTATATGATAATACCATATAGTTTCTGAAACATAGTGCCAATGTTTTTAAAGACAATGAGTCGTGCCATGAGATACTATAGATTTTGGATCTACTCGTGCAATATATCACTATTGATAGCTACCATCATCTATACGA